TCTACAGGATGGACCATTCCCTGGGCAAGGAGATGGGGCAGAGCCTCGTGGGGGGACATGGGGACACTGGGGGGACATGGGGGGACGTGGGAGACATTGGGGGGACATGGGGACATTGGGGACACTGGGAGGACACGGCCCCCACCCTGCAGAGCTGGCCACCGCGATGGCCACCAGGACAAGGGAGGTGGCCACCAGGACAAGGGAGTGGCCAGCAGGGTGGAGGGAAAGGCCACCACAGGGAGCTGGGTTTGGGGACACGGAGGGGACGGGGGGGGACAGTGAGGACAGGGGGTGACCCAGGTGCCAGGAAGTGACAGTGGGTAACCCAGGTGACAGGGAGGTGACAGGGAGGTGACAAGAGGGTGACCCAGGTGACAGGGAGGTGACAGGAGGTGACAGGAGGTAACCCAGGTGACAGGGAGGTGATAAGAGGGTGACCCAGGTGACAGGGAGGTGACAGGAGGTGACCCAGATGAACCAGATGACAGAGGGGTGACAGTGGGTGACGTAGGTGACGGGAGGTGACCCAGGTGACCCAGGTGCCAGGAGGTGCCAGGAGGTGACCCGGGTGCCAGGAGATGACAAGAGGTGACAGAGGGTGACCCAGGTGACAGGCAGGTGACAGGAGGCGACCCAGGTAACAGAGAGGTGACAGTGGGTGACCCAGGTGCCAGGAGGTGCCAGGAGGTGACCCAGGTGCCAGTGGATGACCCGGGTGCCAGGAGGTGACAGGAAGTGACAGAAGGTGACCCGGGTGCCAGGAGATGACAGGAGGTGCCAGGAGGTGACAGTGGATGACCCAGGTGACAGAGGAGTGACAGTGGGTGACCCAGGTGACAGTGGATGACCGAGGTGCCAGGAGGTGCCAGGATGTGACCCGGGTGACAGAGGGGTGCCAGGAAGTGCCAGGAGGTGCCAGGAGGTGCCAGGATGTGACCCGGGTGTCCCCCCCAGGTTCGGGAACCGCATCTTCGGGCCCATCTGGAACCGGGACAACGTCGCCTGCGTCGTCCTCACCTTCAAGGAGCCCTTTGGCACCGAGGGCCGCGGGGGGTACTTCGACGACTTCGGCATCATCCGGTCAGCACGGGGACA